AAGTGCTTTATAGCAGAGAAAAGCTAGCAAAAGCACAAAGAAATGTGCGAGCAGCTCGCACCCCCTTACAGCACTTCCTACGGTAAAAAAGGAAGGCAGCCGACGTGCAGCACCTCCTTGCTGCTCTGTGCTCTGCTGTTTGCCAGCTACCCTCGAGTGTTTGCACACCAGCTGTAACACAAACACTCAGTTCCGCGCAGAGAGCAGCTACACAAAGGACTCATTTTTACACCAACAGAGGGGTAAAAGTTCTTGTTCCAAAATGCAGCCGCACAATGAGAGAGTGCACGCCCCAACCTGATTTACTTAAAATCCTCTCAGGAAAAGCACTTAGAAAGAGTTTAAGGAAGTTTGCGCAGTCTGAAAGCTTTCTTGTTGGCTGCAGCTTTCGGGGGTCCCCGAAGGCCTGGCGAGCTAGCAGTGTTACTGCTGAAGTTGTTTTGTGCAGCACCCAGCTCAGCAAACACCAATATGCAAAGGGCCCAAGCGGTGAGAGATTTGCCTGCTATTTGCGTGTGACGAAGCCGAGGAGATGTTTGTGTGCAGGGGAAGCACCTGGCAGGGGTGCCCGTTGCTCGGTGTTTCTGCAGCTGCTCCGGCGGGCGCCGCTTCCGAGCGCGGCCGGCTCCGGAGAGCAGGATGCGGCTGGGGAGCCGGGCTGGGGCTCGGCCTCCCGCTCCCCGGGGGCTGCTGGAGCCTTCCCTGCTGCTGGGGTGTCTCGCTGAGGCTGCCACGGGGCTGCGAAAGCAAAACGCTCCGTAGTTGGATGCACACGAAGCAAGACGAGGCTCAGTGCTGCGAGCCTACAGAGCACTGCTTGGTCCCACACACACGCTTCCATCAGAGAAAGGTTTAGGAAAACCCCCTGGGGCCCAGCCCAGCACCAGGACAGTGTGTGTGAGGTTGGGACTCGCGGGCTGCTCGTGTCACAGCTGGAAATACTGAATCCAGGCATTATAAAAAGAGCTCCACGGCACAGCACGTCCTGCATACGCCGCTCGGCTTCCCAGGCCGGCATCAGCCCCTGCCTGGTGAGAACAGGGTAACCCCTGCTAAGACACCATAGCCTCATCGCTCTCCTTTAAAGCTGCAGACTCGTGATGCAACCCCTAAAAATAGTCCAGGCCTGCCCCGCTGGTGACAAATATTCTCCAGGATGAATAAGAGCTAAATCCCTCTCCCTGATGAGCGCCTCTCGAGATACAGCCTGTTCTTTTCCATCCTGCCGGAGCTCGGCGGTGTTGGCACTAGCGGCTCCGCTGTGATGGATTCCAGGTTAGCGCTCGATCCGTCACCTCTCCGCGCGCTCGCCTGTAGCTGCAGCCTGGTCTGACAGGGACGCACCCGCAAGGGCCGTGTTTGCCCCCAAAAAGCACCTGCACCGGAGGGCTGCTTCATAGCAAGTTATTCGGGGGAAAAACTTCAGATTTTAACTCACAGTACTGATCTGCTCCTTTCAAGACCAAAGTAGGAGCTTAGGGAAACATTCTGGGAATGTTTTCAGGATCGTCACCATTTCTCTGAGCTATAAATTTGGATTCCAAAACTGACGTCCATCTTTCTCAAAAATATATGACTTTTCTGAAAGTCTTAATTTGACACAGCAAAAAACTATATTTATTACTCCAGCCTGAGTAAATTCCATTTCCAAGTCTTTTTCTGCCGAACTTTCTCCTTTTTATCAATGCAGAGTCAGGATTCCATACTGCAAGTGCACAGCTCCCAATTAGAAGCTGTAGGAGAGCTGATATTTTCAATTGGGTGAGAGATAATTCCAGATTCTCAACTAATTCATCAGATTCAATACAAAGAAATGAAGCTCTTAAATGAACTGATTAAAAAATACATTCTACTTTCAAAAATCTTGCACATAAAAACTGATTTGAATGCAATTGGTAAAAATGAGTGCCTGATCTATTTGATTTGACCACAGAAAATGAATGGATTTTATTGCTTAATGTCCTACTCCAGTTTTATTACATCAATCATTGTGTGAGGAAATTAGAATTTTCTTACTTCTCCCGAACAAATCCTTTCTCTTCTATTAAGGTAATTACATGTAGCCAGTTCTTTGCTGAGAAATCTGTTCTTGTATTATCTTTAGTGAAGCATTTTGCTGACAAACCTATAAAATCATCGGGGGGTGTCAGGCACTGAGATTTCCCACTGGAAAATGCTGAGAACGGAGCTGCGTCCTAAATCCAATGTCTGCTGCATGTATCCGTGTGTGCTTCTGGAAGGGAAGGACTGCTAATATGGGCACCCTTTCCTGTGGATGCCGCAGCAAAATAAATCATTAACATAACTCCAGGGCTACCACTTATCTGCAGGGCTATTGCAGATTGTTTGCGCTTCTTTTTTTTTTCAAAAAAAAAAGCTACAGGAAAGCTTTTCGGTCCATCTAAAGCTTTTAATTGCACAACAGCTGAGAGGACAACACAGCACTCAAATTTACTGACTTCAAAAATTTGTATGATTTGTATGTGAAGAATTTTTAAAAATGGTACCAGCAGGTTGAGCCACCTGTAAGAAAAGCAAATACAGTTTTTTAAAGCGTCTAACTGTAATATGGCGAAAGAGAGCAAATTACAACCAGTGCAGTATGGGTGTGTGCATGGAAATAAAAAGGCACAGGCAAATCCCGCTGTACTGACGGGCACCTGCTGTTTGCAGCTTGTTTTCCCTTCTCATTCCCGACCTCCCTGCACATGTTGCTAACTGCTATCAAGTGAGAAGGAGCTGCCTGCCCTCTGCAAATACTAAGGAACCAGCGATGTTCTCACTTGCAGAATAACCCCAGACTGCTCAAACCACGGCAGGTTTTCCGGAGCTCCCCTTTTTGTTGTTATTTCTTTCATCTTCAGGACACTCGGGTGACTCTGGACTGCTTTTGCCATTGCAGGTGTTTAGCATTAATAGCATGGCTTCCCTGGTCTTTTTTTTTTTTTTTGGCTGTGCAATGCAACACAGAAGAATGTTGGAGGTTTCCAAACTACTTGAGATGTCCCAGGCTGTCATGGTGCTCCTCCAATCTGTGTAGGGCTCTTTTTGAAGTCTCCGGACTGTTAACATACATGACTAAGGGAGAGGGCTTGGGAAAGGGCTGGGAAAAACAGGGGCACAGGAACCTTTCCCGACTGAACCGCAGTCCTGCCAGGCCATGGCCCGCACACACACCACCTTCCAGCAACAGAACAACCCAGGAGAGCAGCTGATGCTGCCCCAGAGCACTATTCCAGGGGCAGCTACCAGGCTGGTTTCAAATCCCCAACTACAAGTGGGAAGAAAAAGTAAAAGCCAATGTTGTGGACTCTGTGGTGAAAATTCGCCTGTAGAACTAGGCATGTTTTGACTAAATAAATGCTAAAGCACGCCGCGGCACTCACTACCGAGCACTGGCTGCTCTCCAAAATGACGTGAGGTCACTCAGGTACCTCAGACATGACGTGGAAGCACCTGTGAAGTCCTCGCAGCCAGTGCCTCAATTCTGCACACATTTTCTCCTGCTCTTGATTAAAACTGCGCGTTTCTACGTCTCTACGGACGCCCTCATGACGACATCGCCCGTAACTGAGAAGTCACCGTGAGCTCCCGCCCGAGGGAAACCCGAGACGACCGCGACCCCCTCGCCCTCACACGGCCCCGCGCAACATGGCGGCGGGACGCGGCGGGGGGGGCGCTGCCCAACCACCCCCGGGGGCCCA